TGATCATACATGAGTGGGGGTATGAGATTTGCATGTATGAGTGTGAATGTGAGTAATGCAAATGTGGTAGAGTGTGTGCCTCCAGGAGAGTGTGTGCCTCCAGGAGAGTGTGTGCCTCCAGGAGAGTGTGCGCGAGTGTAAATTGCATGGAATGAGTGTTCATGAGAACCTGTTTGCACACATGACAGTGTGTGTGAGTGTGCATAGACTATGTGTGAATGTGCCTATCTGTGAGCATGAGGGGGGTCCATGTTTATGTGTGTGTCATGTGCACAAGAATGTGTGCACGTGAGCGTGAGATGCACATGTGCATGTCTGTGATGCACGTGTGTGTATGTGTGTGTCCCTGTTCAAGTGAGAGGAGGGTAGACTGAGCCCCTGCAGGAGGAAGAGGCCCAGGAGGGTTGGATCCTGGGGTGTCCTGTAGAGGGATTATTGGCCTCTGCCCCAATACTGCCCAGTGCTCCTGCTGCAGGTTGCCAAGCACCCCTGTCCTAGCCCGGAGTGAGTCCTGGGCAGCCAGTCCCTTGAAGCGCTTGGCCCATTCCAGGTCGGTTTTCCCATGTTCCAGTCATCTTGGAAAAGTAAGATCTGGGACAAAAACAGCTCCTGAGTGGGCTTCTCTCGAATGTGCAGGGACATTGTTATGGGGAGGGGGGCTGCAGCCCTGGGACTAAGGCCAGAGACCTGAAGGCATCAGAGGGGCGTGGACAAGGGCATGCATGCCTCTGTGCCCCCACTGCTACTGGGAATTCCTCAGTCAAGTGACACTAATGTGGCCAGCTGGCCTTTGCTGCCTTGGGAACAGGAAGGATTAGGCCTATGTCACTGGCTGGAGATGCCCATCAAGAGGGAACAGAGCTAGCCCCCAGAGTGATACAGAGCCTGGAGGAGCTTGCACCTTCAGCCAACTGGAGACGAGGCTGTCTGGGAAGGACCGGACCACAGGAGCACCCCCGGAGTGCCCAGGGAACAGAGCCACTGCCTGGGAGGATCTGAGGATTCCCTGAGCCCCACAGTGGGCTCATCATGTACCTGTGGTGTTTTCAGATGTCCCTCCCTGGGCGCACCTTGCCAGGGCTTTGGCAGATGCTCTATCCTCAGGGACACTTGTCCTTGGTCATAGGGTGGGCACTGCCCTGGCCCTGACATAAATCAACAGGGAAGAGTAGTGCAGCCCTGAGGGAACAAGAGCAACCCTCTGGGGGCTCCTTTAGGCCCCAGGCCAAGGCCCTGGGCAGGGGTCAGGGAGGGCAGGTGAACCTCAGCAGGAAGGGACCCACTCTCTCCTCTCTGCTTCTTTCCCAGCCTGATTCCTTAGGCACCGGTGAGGAGGCAGGAAAGGGTGAAGGGCTCACCCCGGCATGCAGCATGCAAGGAGACCAGGCTGGGAGTGCAGGGAGGGATGCCTAGAAGGGACATGGTATGGGAGTGGCATGACACACACCCCACTGTTTTGAGGTGCAGCTGCTGCCTCCCAGGTCCCCACCTGCAGCGGGAGGGGCACGCTTATTGGGAACCTGGTCAAAGGTCCCAATAGTCATTATCAGGAATGTGGCAAGAAAAATGAAAAACAGAAACAAGTATAGTATTGCACCAATGGCTGGGAAGTCAGTGTCTCCTGTTCTGACCTCTCCACTCCCAGCCACTGGTTATTAGGTGTATGCATCGATAGGTGGGCTAGTAAAGGATCACGGTTCATCTGAAGACTCAGGCTCAAGAGGGTGCAGATAATGTTGTGCTTGTAAGTATCTTGACCTGAGTATGATGACTCAAGAAGACATAGATGATTCCATGCTTAGTAGAGTCAATGGGAAATCCCAGCTGGGCGGTACCAACAATCCCAGTCCTTCCTTTCATCCCACAGGGAAAATACACAAAGCCAATCACTGTGAATCTGTGGTCCCCAACACATGCTGAGCAGGAGGTGCAGCCTGGCAGGGTGCGAAAGAGCTGCTGCCTTCAAGGCTGGCTCCTTTTCCCTGCTGCTTTGCTAGAGAGGATCTGAGGGCAGGAGGCTGAGTCTTCTCCAGGGCTGGTGTCCTTGACATCCGCTTTTCAGAACCTAGAGGACCACATTTGCCTGGCAGGAGAATGTGACTCATGCTTTTGAAGACTGGATGCTTTGAAGCTTGTGAGTGTGGCCAGGGATCACTCTGGGAGAGGGAGTCCCTTAGGGCAGCCTACTCTGGGCAAGTGCAGCTCCTAGGTTTTAGCACAAGGGGGCGCATTGACCCCAAACACAAGGAGGGGACCGAGGAAGGATCCCCTGAGAATTCTGAATCTCTCCCGGGGAAACTCACCAGTCATGCCCAGGGTGCCTCCAGGTGGGCTTTAGAGGGCCACAGTGGGCTCGTCATGTCCCTGTGGTGATGGCCGATGTCCCTACCTGGGCACATGTTCAGCAAGGAGCATGGCCAAGCCAGGGTGAGGCCATATCAGGGCTGCAGCCCCCTTACTTCCCCTGCCTGCCCAATGGGAACCCAGGCATCAGACCATGGACAAAAGGGCGTGGCCAAGGAAAGGACAGGCAAGGCCCACCCTGCCAGGCTGCATCTGTGGATGCTCCATCCACAGCCACACCCTAAGATAACCTTGAGCCCCAGAGCCCAGGGGCACAGGCAGGGAGGAAGTGGAGGGGTTCCCACATGAATGGGAGTGCTGGGCTCTGGGTCCCTCCTGGAGCAGCTGCCCTGTCCCAGTCAGTGCTGTCCCCAAGGCCAAGGGCAATGCCATGGGGTATCCCCTGCCTCCGTGCTTTCACTGCACTGACCCTGGAGGTGCATTTTATTTACTGAAAGGGGCGAGCAGCAGTGGGGCAGTTCTCTAGCACTGTGCCTACTCAGCAGGAAGGGGTGCATTGGCCAGCTGTGGGCTCTGAACCCACAAGGAACCTAGCGTTGCAGTCACTGGCGTGGCTGTGGTCGCTCCATGCCTCACACCAGTGGCCCTGTCCTGGCCCTGTGTGAGCTCCAGCCATGCAGTGTGGATGCTGCTTCTGGGAGCAGCAGCTCTTCAGCCACCACCTCAGGAGCCAAGCAGATCGAATTCCCCAAGAGCAGAGCTCTGCAGCTGAGGCAGATCCTGGGGTCCCCAGGCCCTCTCAGGGGCTCAGCCCCCAGTTTCCTCACCTGCACAGCAGTCTACAGTGGCACATCCATATCAGGATTGCAAGGCCCAGAGGAGCCCAACTGGGGAGTGGAGGAAGGGCTGGACCCCAGCCCTTACCCTCTCTCTCCCTCTTCTACAGCTGCCCAGCAAGTGTACTTCCCGATTTCATGGGAAGGTGCCACCACCCAGCTCTGCTCTGCCCCTCCCAGTAGCATGGTGGAGCCCAGGTTCTGTCCTAGGCATCCCAAAACCAGGAGCTCCTCCTAGAAAATGCACGCTCCAAAGCTCACAATGGGCTCCCTGGTCCGTTTCTGGACTTCACTCCCCACCCCAGGCTCAATCGGGCTCTGTCACCTATGGGAACCAGAACTGTGTCTGATCCACTCCTGTGGTTCCCCAGGATCTTGGGGAGGGCACCAGGCAGTCACTATGATTTCCAGTACCAGACACATCATGTAATGTCCCTGTTAGCCAGTGCTGCTGCCAGGTGAGAAACTGAAGATTTGAATGGCCCCTGCAGCTTCCACCAGTGCTGAAGCAAGAGCCACCTGCTCTGGTGCAGAGTGCACCATGTAGGCTGCGAGCTGGGGGTGGGCTGTCCCCCCCCCCCAGTTGGGCCTGAGCACTGGCTGGGAAGGCTCAGTGGGACTCACAGAGCAGGAACAGTGTGAGCCTTTGTCCCTAGCAAGACCCAGGCATTCTTCCGTGTCAGCACCAACCACTGGAGTCCAGTAGTGATCTCGGAGCCCTGAAGTGAAAGACCCATGCACCAGAGGAGGAAAGCCGACTTCAGAAGTGGCCCCACACCTGGTGTCGAGGGCCTTGAGCTGGAGGCTCAGACTCTGCTCTGGGTCTGAGGTGGGGTAATTTCCTCCCCATTATGGCGATGCAAATGGACACTTCTTTTCCTACCCAGCTTAGGTGAGAGGCAGTGGAAGTGCCAGCATAGGGACCCTCATGTACCAGAAGCGACTTTGGAGAGCAGAGACCATCCCCCCTGCTACTGAGCAGTGGAGGAGGTGGGGTGCTTTGCCAGTGTGGCTGTCCCACCAATCTCCACTTTCCAGGCTATGGTCAGCAAGAGCCTGAGGACCAGCGTCCAGGAACCTATGGCAAGGAACCTTGCAGTGTCCCTGGCCTGAGCTGGCCATGGGTCCTCCCAGGCTCTAGAGAACAAGGGAGGCCAGGGTTGGTCTTTGATGGCCTGGCAGTGGTTTTGGCCATGTGCTGGCCTTGCCTTCAGCCAGTTAACCAGTGCGTGTGGAGTCCTGTAACTGGAGGAGCCCTACTCTGCCTCAAGAAGGAGCCCAACAGTGCATGCTAAGCCTCCATGGCACAGAGGAGCTAGGCCCTGGAGGGTGCTTGGAATATCCTCTGGGGCTAAGCTGCTGGTCACAGAGGAGCTAGGCCCTGGAGGGTGCTTGGAATATCCTCTGGGGCTAAGCTGCTGGTCACAGAGGCCCAGTGTACATTGAGTTAAGCCCACAGTCACTGGTATACAAATAAGCATGTGCCCACGACTGCTCTCGTTAGATCTAGACAGGATCCATGTGACACTCAAATACTGCACAAGGCCTGTGTGCTTCCCAGGGCCCAGCCCCCCTTCCTACACCCCTGCCAGAGTGGGCAGGACAGGCACATGGGATCGGGGTGCATGTTTTCTGCAGAGGCCAGCAGGAGTGGGGCAGGAGAAGCCACTGCCTGGGGATGGAAGAGTAGTGAGGCTGGGGTAGGGCGTGAGACAGCAGAGCAGAGATTTCAGGCAGAGCACATGGTGAGGATGCCCTCACCTGGCCCTCATGTGCGGGGGTCAACTGTCAGGCATGGAGTAGCAGCTAGGGAGAGACATATCACCAATTATAGGAATAATTAAGAGAACACTGAGTAACTCCTGTGCCTATTACTTTACACACATTGTTTCCTGGAATGCACAATTACACCCATTTCACAGACAAAGAAACTTCAGGAGGATTGGTCAGAGAGACCCTCCAAGGTCACACACTATTGGGGACAGGTAGGGATGGGCTTGTGCGGCAGTGAGCCCTGCGTCGCTCAAGGTTCTGGCAGTTACTTCACTGCACACATGTGCAAGCAGCCCAGGTAAACACACTGGATGCCTGGGAAGCGGAGAAGGAAGGAAGCCCACACACACCAGGGTTCCAGCCTGGCAGGGCCAGCAGAAACCGATCTACAGGGAGTACCATGGCATGTGGCCCAGATGCTCCAGGCCTTCTGTGCCATGAGGCTTGGGGCTGCTGGGGTGCCTCACCAGAAAGGGCTCTCTCTACCTGAGCCCCTGTAGGACACCAAGCCTTCACTCTGCGTCCACATGGCTCTGCTTTGGAGCTCAGGGAAGCACAGACAGTGACAAGAGAGCCCCAGGGGCCTTTGAAGGCAGCCAGGCCTCATACATGGACAGTGGGTGTAGGAAACACATGGTCATCTTCATTTCCTGTGTGCTGCTGCCCCTCAGCCACCCTAAATTGCCATCAAGCCCCTGCCCTTGTGCTCTGGGGCTGGGGAAGGGGGCACCAGGGCAGGATACAGCCAGAAGTATTCACCCCAGAGTGTTGGAAGTGTCCCCAGGAGCACTGAGCCCACTGCCTGGCAGATGGAAAGGGCAGGAAGGTGCTGGGCCCTCCAAGGCCTGAACAGGCAGCTGCTCCATCTGGGTGCTGACTCCTAGGGCCCTGGGACTTGATGCCAACTGCCTGTGCCATGCTTACACAGGACACAGAGCATAAAGCCTCACACCCACCCTGCTCATGGGCAGTATGGGCAGCAGGTGGCCAGGCCAGGGCTCTGACTGTAGACCTTGAAGCTCTTCCCTCACTCCTGGTGGCAAGGTCAAGGGTGACTCCTTGGTGGCTGGGTCTTGGCGACATCCCAGGGTCAAGGCAGAGCCAGGGCAGAGAGGGACACTTGGGGCATGGACAGCAGCTGCAGACAAGGTTTGGCCTCGTTTCAGTGTGACCGCACTGTTGCTATCCCTGGGGCCGGCCAACCACTAGCAATCTTCCTTGGCCCCAGCTCCTCTTCACCCCATGAGGGATACTTCTGGCCAGATTTGATGCCCACATCCAGGCAGGGTCTCCTCCAGCTGCTGGCTCAGGGTGGGCCGTATCCCAGCACGCTCAGCCCAAGCTGAAAGCCTCTCGTGTCAAACATGCACAGTACATCTCTCACGGAGGGGCCACCGAGCCCAGCCTCTCAGCACTCTGCAGGTCTCCACACACCCTGCAGCTGGGACTGGGGCCTAGAGGGGCCAGGCTGCTTGTCCAAAGCAGTCCAGAAGCTCAGCCTGGAGCCACTCTGCCCGACCTGATCCAGGGCATGTGTTCATCAGAGGACACCGAGTAAGGGACACGTGGCTGTCCAGTGACTCTTGGGGCTCCCAGCACTTTCTCTCCCCATAGGCCCCACACAGCCCAGGGACCCTCTCTCTGGACTCATGGAGGATTGTGGCCCTCAGCCATCACTCAAGCATACAACCCTCTTGGGCACAGCCCCAGGGTTTGGAAAATTGAAGGCAAATATAAGAAACGGAAACCCAGAAAGACGGACTCACATTACTGCCACTGACCCCTCAGACCCATCTGCAAACCTTGGGCCAGGAGAGGCGAGGGTCAGCACATTGCTGCTCCCTGGACAGCTGATGGGCAGCCTTGTTTAGGGCCAAGAGCAGTGTGGAAATGCAGGGTGAGGGCTCCTGGACAGCAGGACACAGAACAGTCCTCCTGGTGCCTGGGGGAAACAAAGATGCTGGGTGTTAGCCTCCCTGCATGGGTGCCCTCCACATGCTCTCCTTGAACCCCTGCATGGGGTCTTCTGTGAGGGGCCCCCAGGTCATGACATTGCTGTCCCATCACACCTGCTGTCTGCTCCCTTCTCACCTGCCTGTCCCCACTGGGATCTGTCCACCTGGCCAGGCCTGCTCCTCCACACCCTGAGAGTGACCTCATCAAGTCCCCACAAGTGCAGATGGGAGGGAGAGGAGCATGTGTCCCAATCGCCGCCACCTCGGAGTCTGTAGGACCTGCCCTGGGCGAGTGGCAGGGGCTTTTCTGCTGCTGTCTGCATCCTGCAGGGCGTGGCTCTGTGCAGAGCAATTCCAGGGGTTCACTCACTCATCCTGGAGGGGAAAGAAGGAGCCAGAGGCCTAGAGTGTGCCAGGCACATACCCTGGGTCTCAGCAGCAGCCCCAGCATCACACAGTGATGCACTCACATGTCTGTCCTGTCCTCTTTGCTTGTCCATACCTGGCAGAGGCCTTCTCAGGAAGGAGCCAGGGAGCCCTGGCCACAGAGCACCCACTGGACCTAGGCCACAACCACAGCTTTCTGCAGGCTCAGGGGCTCCTCCCCAGGCTGGATTCAGGTCCCCTGTGTCCCTGCTCCCAGCCCAGGGCAGACAGCAAGGTCAGACCCACAGAAAGCCAGCAGGGCTAGTGGTTACTTAGGTGATCTGCCACCCACCCTGAACATGGTCACCCAGCCAAGAAGGGCTGGCTCAGGTGGCAGAGAGCAAGTGGCCTGGAGCTTGCAGCAGAGCCCCCCTCACTTGGAGCCCAAGGCTGCCGAACAGTAAAGACTCCCAACCCCAAAGCGCCTCATTCCCTCCATCAGTTCCTCCATGACTTCCTAGCTGGGAGCTGAGGTCCTCACCCGCTGCACCCCAGGCATTTGTTCCGAGATGCCCCTGCCATGTCCACTGAGGTCCCATGCTGGAGGAGAGGAGAGGGCAACTTGCCCTCCCAGGGGGTGCAGGGTGTAACCTTCCAGGCCCGGTCCAGGTTCCTTGGGGTGCGGCAGGATGGACCAAGGCCCATGTGGACCTTTCCTCTGCACCTGGGCTTAGGATCCAGAGGTGCCCTGGCCGTGGTACACCAGGTGCTTCCCCTGTCAGTCCAGACATCAGGCTTCTCTGCAGGTGGGCAGAGGCAGGAGTGTGGCACTCTAAGCGAACAGCACATCCTTACCCAGAAGGCCACAGTGGGCAGAGGGCTCCTCGGCATGTGTCCCAGCTGCCTGTGAGCACAGGGGGCAATGACCACAGGGACCAGGCCACACAGATGACCTGTGAGAGGCAGCAACAACTGGCACCATCTACCCTGTTACTAAGTAGGTGAGCAGAGCCAGTTTGCAGGTCTGGAGCAGAGGGGAGCTCACCTAGGGCCACCGCTCATCCACACACACACAAGTGGCCTGAAAGGACCTCTGGGTTCTTCAGCCTCATTGCAACTGTGGTAGGGATCCTCTTTGTTCTTCATCTCCCACCTAGAGCTGTGCCCACCCGAGGAGGGATGCTTTCTGGAAGTGGGTACCCTTCAGGGGCACAGGCAGGTATGGGCTGGGCATCGGTTCCTACTGACACCATGGTGCTGGATACCACAGCACTCTGCCCCCCAGCTGTGTACACCTGCACTTGCACACCTGGGCAGACCCCAGCAGAGGCAGGGGTCCAGGTAGGTGAGGAAAGGCCAAGCCCTCCAGGTTGTATGGGGTCTTCCATCTCAGCCAAGGACCCGTCCCTGGCAAAACGAGGTCTGTCAGAGGGCACAGAGACCCAGTGTGAAGGCCTTGGCCAGCAGCAGGAGGGATAAGCACTGTCTCAGGGCTTGAACAGCATGTTCAGGGGAAGCAGACTGGGTAGTGGGTCCAGCCCAGAGCTGCACTGAGAGCTTCCTAGCCTCAGCTATCTCCTTGCTGCACCCAGAAGCTGGTCAACTGGCTGAGGGCCAGTGGAGGAGGTGGGCCCTAGGTTGGCCTTGAGCTATTTGCCTGGCCTGCTGCAGCCCACCTCCCAAGGAGCATGGTGGGTATGGGGTGTAGGTGGTAAGGGTGTGGTGACTTCCAGAGCGCAAGGCAGCCCCTTGGTCTCTGTTGTGCCCAGGGGACCGCCGTACCCGTTCTTTGGTCATCTTTGTCACGTGGTCAATTTCACAAAAGTTTGAACACTGAGGCCTCAGTCCTCAGGTGCAGAGGCTGACTGATTACCCCCGGGGAGGTCTGGGCCTGCCTCTCTCAGTTCCCCAGTCTTGAGGGTGGATGTGACCATAGGAGGCTGTGAGACTGATGTGGGGGCAGAACTAGGACAGCTTATGGGCAGGATCCAGGGGGGAAGCCTGCCAGTCCCCAAGGTAGGCTGGGCCCTCTAACACCCTCTTAACCCAGGCATGACACATTCCACAGACCCAGGATAACCCCACCCATATCCAGCGGCAACCGCCCTGGTATATGGGTGCCTGTCCTTGGAGACATCCTGCAGTGGTCCAAGTGGACAGCAGTACATTCTTCTAAGGTGCTGGCTGTGGGGTGTGGCTGCATGACCTCTGGGACCCACGAAGGACAAATGGCAATGGGTACCCACATGATTTGCAAGAGGGGAGCAGCAGAAGCACCAGATTCTGGGGGCAGAAAGTATAGATCAGGACATTCCTAAGGACAGAAGATCAAGCTCTGGGCACCCCTCAGGGCTGCGTCCACTTTCCCAGCTGGCAGGGCAGGGACACTAAGGAGAGTCAAGACCTCCTACAGGGCTCCAGCTCCAGGAGACGCCTGCCGGTAAGTGGAAGACACCAATTAGCTAAACCCCTCCCTGGCTCCTGCCAGCCCAGCCCCTGTGGGCAAACACCTGCCAGCATCCACCTGGCACCTCGAGAGGAAATTTCCTGCCAAGCCCTGTCCTTGGTCTGCAAGCTCGGCCTCATTGGGTTCACACTCAGCCTGAGGGGAGGCCAGACTTTGCCAAGCAGGCAGGCAGGAGCACGTAGTACCTCGTGACCTCCTGGGCACAGAGAGATGCGGCTGCTGGTCCCAGCCCCCGCACGGCAGAGCCAGGCAACGAGGAGCCAGCTGAGGGGTCACAGCCAGCCGGTGCCAGGCTCATGTGTGCCAGGCGGGGGCCGAGCACAGCAATGAGTGGGTCCACCGGTGCAGCAGACATCCCTTCATGGGCTCTGGGGACACACATGCTTATTCCTGCACAAGCTGACCCAGAAGAGTAAGGTGGGGGCAGTCAGACAGCTGGTCAGTAGACCTGGGGCTATGGCCAAGCCTCCATGTGTGTGGGGGGGAGCTAGCTCTGTAGTCCCAGTAAGATGATACCCAAGTGCAGTCCCGAAGGGCAGTTTCTGAGACTGGGGACCCCAGGGTCAGGCTCCAGCAACAGGCTGTGTCCTCTGCCACTTATGTATCCTCCGAGAGAAGTCTCTAACCTCAGGGCAGAGAGCAGGGTGTGTCCTCAAAGACATCCCTGACAGGCTGACAAGAACGACACCAGGCCTTGGGCCTGGGACCCACCTCACAGTGTCCTGTCCCTGTGCAGAGCCTGGCCCCGGGACTCGCAGCCAGCTTGGGGCTCTCAGGCCACCAGCTGGGCCTGTGCTGTCTGGGGTTTCCCCTATGTGGGGGCACTCCTGAGGCAGTAGGTGGCTCAGCCACCTCCCAGCAGCAGCACCGCCTGGCAGAGCCCCCCGAGATTCATCACCTGAAGCAGACAATATGGTCACTTGCCCCTCAGCTCTGGGCAGTCAAGCCAGTGGTCACCACATCCAGCGGCCAGGGATTGGATGCCTAGCTCTTGATGGGGACACAGCAGCACCCAGTACCCCTCAGCTCTGCTCCTGGACATGGACACTGTGAACTGAGATACACTGATGATCCCCTTTTATCTGGGCCCCAGAATTGTGACACCCTGTCCCCATACTGCTTCTGGGATTTTCCAACCTTCATCTGCTCAGCCAGCCATGCCCACAGTTTCCGCCTGCCATCTGGCTTCTCCTCTCTTTTCCTCATCTCTGATAACCTGAGTCCATTGGCTGGGCCAGACTTAGAGACCACAAGCTCCAGACCCTGGGGGCTCCCTGACTCTGCGTGGTGGCAAGTTGTCTGCTCATGCATCTCCCCCAGCTCTCTGGTGCCGTCACACTGTGGGTGGCCTTGCCCGGAAAAGGTCTGCCTGAGGCTCCCTGGGGTCAGATTCTTGGCTCAGAGTCTTGGATTGGGCAGGGCCAGGGCAAGGTTCCAACCTGGATGCTGTGAGCTCCCATGAGAGGCGCTGGCTCCGGAGACCTGGGCTTGGGTTTCTGTGGTTTCACAGCAGACTCCAGCCTGGAACCACTTGAAAGGCCCTGAGTTGGAGGGCAAGGAGGAGGAGATGCGTGTCGCTGTGGCGGTGCTGAGCTTTTCCGCCATGGAGGCCATGACACAAGAGCAGCAAGGATGGCTGCAGGTGGGCAGCTCCTCATTCTGCTTTCTGTTTTCTCCTGTCCTGCGAGCTGTCTGTGCAGAGTCCACGATCCGGCCCCACCTGCTGGCCAGCAGACTTTGTTCTGTTTGCTTTTCCTGGGGAGCACACCCCACGGGGGCACACAGGCTCAATACCTCCTGGCCCCTCACTCCATGTGTCCTGGGGATGCCCACCAGGTGGCCACTCTCATCTCACTTCAGAGATGCAGAGGACAAAGGCTGCTGGCCGCCCACGCCCTGTCCCAGCTCCAGGGCCGGTGCCTTCCTGCCCTCCAGTCTTCCCCACGGCCACTCATGTGACTCCGCCTCAGTTGTGGGCCTGGGTTTGCCCGTGCCTGTCCTAGGCAAGGTCAAGATGCGGAGGTGGAAACGGTCCAGGGTAGAGCCCTCTATCCGACAAGGACTCGCTTCCTTGGCTCCAGTGACCATTCTTTTCTTCCCCTTTTCAGGTCTTCGGGCATGTTTTGGAACTAGTGGAGAGTTCATATCATCACCCTTCTCTCTGGGATTTGTTCAGCCATCTGTCTTCACTGTGAGCACCTCACAGTGCTGACCAAGTGCATCAGGGCTAGGAGGGTCCCACTCAGCCTGGCCCTGCCATTCATGCTGTGACCTCAGCAACTACCCCACCTGACCTCAGCAATACCCCATTGTTAATTCAAGTGGAAAACAGCACTCGTCACCCCGAAAGGCCGTCATTCCTGCCACAACAGCTCCCTGGCCTGGCCCCAGCACCTACTGCTTGGCAGCTTGCCTGGTGACACAGCCCAACCCTGGTTCCTGATCCCTAGGTCCTTCAATTTCCTGGGGTCACACACATTTGGCCACTCACCTGGGTGGTCCTGAGGTATGCACCTTGGGGACCTCCAAGCAGCCTCACAGAGCCAGGAAAACAAGCCTGGGGGTCCACAGCAGCCGGTCAGCCTGGCCTGGCTAGTGGGAACCAGAATGGACCCAGGGCTACAGTCACTCACCTGGGGCTAACTCTCCAGCCTGGCACAGTCCAGTTCCCTGCTGGAGAGGAATGCCTCTGGCCCGCCCCCTAGCACGTCCCCAAGGGCCTGTTGTGCTGGTCAGAGAAGTCAAGTGTGCAGAGGTGAGTTGGCAACATCCCGGGACATCTGTGTCAATAATGTTGTCACTGTTATGGCAAATACTGATCAAGTGCTTGTGAGCTGCCATGTACTGCCACTGCTCTGCACGAGCTGTCTCTACCCCCACCAAGCTTTACAGATGAAGAAACAGGTTCAGACAAACCCAGGGTGCCTTAGGTAAGTAGGGTGCAGGTAGGAACCCAGGTGATCTGACCCAGGGCCCTGATGCAGGCAGGCCTTGTATGCATGTACATAGGATCAACACTAGGTGTGAGACCCAGAGTACAGACACGAGAACATGGGTTGTGTGGCTGTGTTCCCTTCTCCCTATAAAGAAAGCATTGCAGAAAGCAGCACCCTGCGCCCAGCATGGACATTGTGGCCTGAGCTTGAAAGGCTGGGTCGCCAGGGTTACAGCCACCCACTTCCATGGCATCCAGAAAAATAAGAGCAAATCAGCTCTGCACCATTTTTGGCAGGTTGGACAGGCAGTTTTGATACAAAACATACCGTGGCTTCAGCAAGAATGACGCCAATGTAGCTTCAGGATGGCCAGGGGCACAGGAAAGCTGCTCTGCATAACGGTCCCAAGTTCTCCTTTTAAAGCAATTATTAAATTCATCTGAAAGTCAA